TGATCGTATAGCACAATTGATTTGTGAAAGAGTTGTTTATCCAGAATTAGAGGAGGTAGACAATTTAAATGATACAGAAAGAGGAGAAGGAGGTTTTGGTTCAACTGGGAAAAATTAAATTGTTAGGTTTCTTCTTAATTCTTGTATCTTTACCTAAAAAGTATTAATGTACGAATAAACCGCTCTAACGAGAATTATGAACCTTTATGTGGTATTTAATAATTGGACAATTTTTATAAAAATATAACCTTGTTGGTCATGAGAACCGACTATGGCACATTGAAGTCTTTATTCCTTATAGTTTATAATTTTGGGCTAAGTCCTGTAGACAATGACGGTGTCTTTATTAAACGTAGAATATTTTTAAACTCCTTGTGATCTGCACTTCCCAATAATTTAAAAATAACATTCTCTGCAGTAGTTATATGACAGCCCATGCCTCTCATCCTCTGTTAACATAATTTAATTTACATGTTATAATCTAATGTATAGGATTATAGTTCACATTTGTTTTTACCTCTAAAGCAAGCAATCTATCCTCTCTAGTACGCGAACTGCAACAATCTGCAACAGTGTGTACTTCATATCCACTTTGTTTCAAGTCCATCGCTGTGTTCTCTATGCACACATGAGTCTCAAGACCAATTAAGATAATTGCTTCTGGTTTTTCACCAGAACAGACTGTAGAAAGCTCTTTGTTTATCTGATATAACCAAAAAGAGGAAAATTACCAAAACAACCGAATGAAAAATAATCATAGATTCAACACAGTAGTTCTCTGACTTACTTCAGGTGTACACATACTAAACGTAGTTTTTGCGAACGGTCCTTTGGCACCGGAAATATCAAATTCCGAAATCGTTTTACCTAACGACTTCGGATTTTGTTCGGAGACTATCATAGGAATTTCCAAGAGCTTTAACGCCTTTATCTGAGCATAATATATACAATTTAATCTACACGAAAAGAGTTTTAATGTAAGTATCAAGTTACTGAATATAATTAATATCGTAAGTGGAACGTTAAACGAAGCAGACATCTGCAAACGTTAAATATTTTCTTACGTCGCTTGAACGTAAACTTAATATGCACATAAATTTAAGAAATATCCTTCAGTGCTAAGTATAGGAGTGTTAAGAAATCATTCGAATTGTGCGTTTACTGATATTATTCATGGTATTTTACATATTTACCAGTTTCACCGAGTTTTGCGAGATTTTGTCGAAATCGGATATAGCCTTAACGATCTTTTCTTGAACGTCGCATATGAACAAGGCGGTTCTCGTTTGTTTAAGAACCGCTCTCGCCGCGTTCATTGCCATTTTTCCGAGAGATATGGAAATCCTTTAGAAAAATGAAATCAGTCCGTACCACGATACGTCGATTTTTATCACACGGAAAATTTTGTTGTCGCTATCACTGGCACAACAGACACGAATTTTCACCTTTGAGTTGACTGGATCTCGTGTTGTGACGCACGTGATATATTTCTGCGATATTCAAAGTTCACGGTCAGTCGTGGACTTACTAACTTTAGATGTAACACTTAATCGATTTTTCAACGGACCCTCTCGATGCGCAAGCGACATAATTGACCGTATAAGGGTACGCAATAATTGTTTGTTTATTTAGGGTTACAAACGATGGTAGCTTGATAGCAGAAGCGTTCAAGGTTTAACGAGAAAGTATCGAAACTATCTCTGCTGTTCAAGGAAATCGCGAACGTACTCGGACACGATAAGAATACTTTTTGCGCACAACATGTGTACATCTATGTTTAGACGGTATCAAGAGTAGCTGGAATTTGATAATTTTACAAGTTCGAAGCTATCTAAACAGCCCTGCCCCTAATACTCGAATAGAACGTGACAAAAGTTCAGCCGAAACCTAAAATTCGTAGAACGAAATCCGATAAGTTTCCGAGTAGATCGCATCGGAACCGAGAAATGCAAGTCACCGTCGAGTAGTTCTCGGTTGTACTAAACGAGTATCATCATTCGTGATAAGCCCGCAGTGCCGTATGGCGGCCATGGTTCCGTAAATCTCGGTTGATCATCTGCGCGACGAATCGTTTCCCCGTCGCAGGGAAGTTGTCGCGTGAAACGAGAGCGGCGCGCAAGAGCAACGGCAGCCGGTTTGCAAAATGTATGTATGCATTTTATAGGAAGTTTCCCGTTGCTGCGAGTCGAGTGATTTAAATCGACTGTGTTTGGCGCGTGCGTGTTGCCGCAACGTCCCAGGTGCTAGAGGCGAGTTGGATGTAGGGAAGGCCACATAGAGCGGCAGCAGCGAGCAGCGGCAGTCAAACAATGTTGTTTCGAGTGGTCGGATGTACGGGTCCGATTTGAGTATCTCAAGTTGACCAGATTGATCATCCGGCCAATCGGTGACGATGTTCGCGTACGGTTCACCGGCTCAGGGAGCGCAGACGTTCTAATGATCCGAGTTGCGGGTCCCCTTGTCCTCCGATTTATTCTATTCCTGAGAATACTCTCGGATTTTGTGTTGGTACGAGCGAGCCAAGTTTCTAAACAAAGAATGGCCGTGGAGCCTCGTGAAGCCGGGCACGCGAAGCCGCTACTGCAGCTTTTCCCGAAAGCATCAGAGTGCGTGTACACGAGTTGCTATTGGTAAGTGATCATAGTCGGTCATCGCCGGCTTTTACATAGCGCACGGGAAATTTTATCGATTCGCGGGAATAAACGTGTCGTATTGCGGTATTCATTCCCGTGATGGATCGATACGATGCAGTAGTACAGAGACGGCAGTGCGATATGCTGCCGCCATCTTTGGAACGGTATGAAATACCTACGAATCACGGTGCACCGTATCACGCTCTTTCCCTTTCTCTCTTGCTGTACGGCTTTGAAAAGTCCCGCGCGTTACGTGTAACTCCCCGCTTCTTGCTAGAATTCATAATTTCGCCTTTGTTATCGCTGTGTACGCCGGGAATACGCGGCCCCACGACGTTACTTTCGATTAATAATGCATGCTGTTAGCGGATAATTCGCGCGACACGACTGTGCTTCGCGTAACACGAACGCAAATCCAGGCTCTTTTTTTAACAGCGCGCACACGCCTGGCAGAACCAGCCGTATCTTAATCATCCGACCTCCGTATCCAGGCCTCTCATTACCATCCGGTGTGTCGCAAAGCTTTCAGCGTGTTCGCGATGCCCGTCATCGATCATCCGAGTTCAACAATATTTTCACGCCACGCTTCGTTATGGAATAGATTTATATACGTTCGCTTGCACATACGTTCCGCTGACGTTCCACCGGTCGCCTCGCTCTCTTGTACACACCTGCGTTCTCGACCTCCATGCACTTCACGCTACTCTATTAAACGGGTTCGTGGAAAATGTTTGTTCACGTTTCCAATTTATTTCCACGCCGGAGGATCATTCTTTGCTCGGTGTGTTTTGAGTCACTCTTTCATCTGCGCTCACGTTGCTGCACCGTGTAACCGTCGCGTTCAACCTGTTAACCGGGGGATCGTTCGACAATTGGTATACATGAAATTATCGAGTTCGAGTCTGTACGAAGGACGAGTTAACTCGTCGATGCCCGGTTAACAGGAGAACCGAACGAACCATTCCTCGGACACGCTCCTCAGCAAGAATCAACTGTGTTATTCTAGCGAGGAGAATGTATGGAAGCTGTGTCAGGACGTAGCCAGGAGACACGCATCGCAATTACAGCATTGCTATGTTGCATTCGTGAGCAACCCTTGGCGTAGCGTTCCACTTTGGCGACAACGGGCAGGAAAGGACGAGGATAAGCTCGTAGTTTGGGTCAGTTTGTTTGCTGAAGATAGAGAAATAAAAGGAAAAGATAACGCTAGAAGCTGCTACGGTCTCGTTCGAGCTTCTTCCTTTCTATCTTTTTCTCTTTTCCTTTTTTTCCCATGTTGTTTGGGGGAGAGACAACGTGTTTGTTTGTTATATTCATAGGACTACCACGTAATCCTTATCTACGCACCCGACGAAAGGGCAGTCGTTTACGACTTAGATAGTGCGTTGCCTTTTCCAACCCATTTTTGGAAATACGCGATGGAAACGTACAGGTCGGACGATGTGGTGCAACCGGAGCATCACAGGAGATTCCGTGTGGTACCAGCCAGCGTGTACTTGCGAGAGTTCGCGTCGGATCGGCATCACATGAAACGCGAGGACGGGACGTGGATCAAGACACCGCCAGATTATCCACCGATCTCCACAGCAAGTACGTTTATCTCGGATAGGCAATTTTTTCGCCCCGTTTAACGGGGGCGTTCTAGCTGCAGCTTAATTACTCTATCGGAGTAGTCCACATTCTGATGAACGTTTCTCTTTTTTGTTTTTGGTTTGCTCTGCGACTCTTGCAGCGTGTAAAAGCAACTTGGATTCCTTTATTAACACCGAGCCAGGGACAGGTTTCGGCATCGTATTGTCATTAGAACAATTTTTCGACCGATTTCATAGGCCGAACGCGAACGCAAAGGCACCCCGTGCCCCCCAGTCACAACCGACGGCGACTTAAATGTACCACTAAGTAAGTTTCCGCAGGGTAACCGATCGTTTGTTTTGACATTTCCACCGTCAGAATCGCTCGTATGGCCTAAGGGAATTGGTAGGTGCATGCAATTTCTCCCGAGCTGACGCATTCGGTCAAAATTTCGTGATAACGTTGCTCCGATCGTTGTCGACCCGAAAAAAAAACGGAACCGATTGTTTGCTCTCCCGAGACACGTTCCCTTCCATCCGTTGATTTTTACTTATACCCTTGTCACGCCTCGATCTTGCCACTTAATCGAGCAACTCACCCGAAGTGATTACGATCGAGAGCGGCGACTTGTTCGAGTAATCGTCCGGTTCCAGAGCAACGCGTTTGTAACTTTCGTATCCGCATTGAAATCAAAATCTTACATGTACCGGCGGAGAAAATGGATAACAGAATCGCGTCGTCTCGATTACGCGAGCCTCGCGGTCGCGTGATTTCGCTGGATATTGCGCCGCGAACAATTATCGTGATCTGCGTTGCCTTTTCTCCCCTTCAAAACAAGTCTTCGTCACAAGTATTTGCTCGTTATATTTCTAGGCTATGCTGAAATGTTTGTTTCCTCTCTTTTTAAAAGTCTTTTTTGCAGAGTGTCGCGGAGACCGTTCCGTCTCAGTTAGAGTGTGCTACCACGTTACGATCGACCGTATTCCAAGTTTCGAGTCGTGTGGTTTATAAGTGTCCTCGTCTTCGTACATACGTTCCACCATGCATTCGTGAATGAATCTTTGTCACGGCTTTGTTCTATCGATGGTATTGTATCGTTATCGTTATTGTGTCTAAAGACTGATTGTATTTAACGGACGACTCGCTCCGGCACCGCGAGGAGGACCGCAGGGAGCTCCTCGAGGATCGTGTTATACCCGTGCGGAGCGCGTCCGCGACACAGGCGCGACTGAACGCGCTTACCATTATTGCGCAATCGATACGAGTAACAGCAGGAGGAACTTGATCTTTCTGAGATAATGTAATATTATATTACGATTATTGTAATTCTTGTGATACTTTACACTTTCTACTTTGAATACCTACAAGCTATACTTGTCTACTGTTTGTATACTATGAAACTAATGCTTAAAAAAACGGTGCGTTCGCTCGTCGACGCGGATACCCGCGACGAAACCGTAGGAAAAGAAGCGGAGGGGACCGCAGCCCCGCACGACCAATTGCCCACATCGAAAGATCGTCTTCAACGAGTCAACGAACGCGTGAATCCACTGGATATCTCGGGTGTGAACAACGAAATCTTGGTGAACAACAAAGAGAAATAACAAACTATCGCTATTCTTGCCTGTTGCGCGATCTGTAGACTCTTTCAAGCTATTAAACGGCGGTGATCATTTCGAGAATGTTGTCCGACGAGCGAACGCAAGCTGGACCGTCGGTTCGTCGGTGTACAAGGCAGGACGAGGAAGGATTCCTCGATCGATCCATGAAGACGAAGAACCGTCGGTCTTGTCGATAGTTTAAGAGTTCGTCCACTCTTTGCCTTCCAGTATCTTTCACTAATTCTCTTTGTCTTTTCTCATCGACATATGTTTCTCTTCGATCCGCGTGTACACGCGAGCGGCTGCGTGTTCGCTGCGACTCCGAAGAAACTATATATCTAGTCACCGAAAATCGAGCACGGGGAACAGCCCTCATCGTTTTCACACAGGAACACACCGGCGTCGTATCGTATGTGGAAAACCCGGGACCGATCCTTCTAGCGTGTAATATCTTCGATTAACGGGATAGAAAAACGGAGGAAGATAGACCTAATCTCTCTATCGTTGACGATATTGCTGAATATATCAGAAGGAATTATTGCATTATCACCGGCAGTGATGATAATTATATAAATATATATTTATCAATATTTCATATTTATTATATTGATATATTTAATTATATATAAATAAATAAATAAATAAATATATATATATTATATCAATTTCGATACGATAAGAGAGTTTAGCCGAGAAATGTTGAATTATACAATGTTTTATATATACATATATATTTGTCGACG